TTGCATAGAGAGAGTCAAACCTGGCCATTTGCTCCAGTAAATTCAGTATCCATCGCATCGCGAGTGGTGCCTCTGATGGGGCTACCTGTTGTTCATTCCTCACCAATTAATGCATTCAAAATACTACTTTTGTACAATTGATATTCCGGGAACATAATTTTCTTCATCAAGATTCTCTTATTCCTATAGATAGCACTGATGATAAATAATCAATTAAAAATAACCCCTTGAATTGTTGTATAGTGCCTACTTTTGGGCATAATAAACTTAATCTATCTTGCATCTAAACATATACCTAAGCTATTGATATCATGCACTGCTCACCAGCTCCACCTATCACTAATTTTTTTTTTCCAATGTTAATAATATAACAACAATAAAGATACACTCACCTTGATGCACCCTTCCTCTTTGAATTTATAATTCCTAGAAACCTTTAGTTCAAATCCATTAAGGCTAGCTTAGGAGGCGAGGGAGGGATCTAGGCAATGGAATGGGGTCAAATTTTCTATATGCAAAAAGAAATGTGGACCTCTTCAGATGAAATATCTCTATTAAATTGAATAGCCTAAAAACTAATATAAATATATATAATTATAGTATTTTTATCTTCAAAAAAATTATGACATAAAATAAAAAATAAATTTTTACAATAATGTTTAAAGAGGGATACATAAATGTTTAAAAAAAAAGATAAAGAATAGTGTTATCTAACAAATCAAATTTACTATAGTACCAACAATGGCAACGTGTTCTGAGAATCCAGTTTGTTTTTATTAGTACCTCGCTATCATTTGTTGGCATTGTTCAGTATGCTAAGAAGTATTTGTTGGAAGAGAAATAAAGAGAGAGCTTCAGCTCTCTAACCTTTCAAGGTATCTCATAATCTATATATTCCTACATAAATAGCCACACATCTTTGTGACTTTGAAAATATATTCAATAATTCACAACTTGATTCTGTGTATTTAAGCTCTTGTTTAAACCATTTTAGTAAGATGAATGGGTACGCCGAAGTGAGAGTAAAAAGGTGCTTTTTTTTTTCAAAGAAAAGAAATTAAAGCTGCTCCATCTCCAAGCACTTGCACTTTTTTCTCTATAAATAAAAATATAGATTCAAATAAGAGCAAATCAAAATCGCAATGGGGCCAAACAGGGCATCAAAGGTTCTCAAAATATGTTGATATTTTTTCAGTTTGCAAGGAGTTCTTAAAAACCCAAAAAGTTTAAAGCTTCCACTGAAGTTCTATTATAATCCTGCAAACATAACCCCAATATCAAGATATTCTGTCCAACTTTTGTTCTCAAAAGCTTCATATTTCTTTTAATTCCCCTTGACTTAATCTTTAAAAATGCAATTCTGGAAAAATGGAATTTGTTTCAAGGGGTTATTGTGATATTCTCTTTATAGACGACTAAAATGAAATTAGCCTAAAAAATTTACTTTAAGATAGATGTTTATTGTTGGGTAGAGATCATCATGCTATAACCTTGCAATATCTAGAAGAGCTTCAGCAAGGGCCACAAATTTTGATACTAGCAAATTATCATCCCTTGCACCCACTTGAAGATATGAATCAATGAGCTTCTTAACACATATAATTGATCCTAAGAAGTGCCTGTTATCTGTAGGATTAGGAGACATTCTTTTCCAAAGCTTCAAGTAACTTCCCAACACTACTAAAACCAACTCCATTGATGATGCTAAAGCATAAGGCAAGTCACCCATAGTTTCTTCATCAAATTACAGGCTTGCTCTTCTAATCAAGTCTGTCTAGGTGACATGAGAGACCCCAAAATGGTTAGAAATTCAGAGGAGTCTAAGCAATAAACCAACTGAAACTGACCCTTTATTTGCAGGAATCATGTCACAATATTTTCAAGAAAATATTGTGCCAAGGTTCTTGAACTCTGAAGATTGAATACCTCACATGAACCCCCTCCACTATGAGCACGCACCTCTACAAACTACCATCAATATCATCCCTTCCTCAACTGAATATGAAATGCCCACACTTGAGAATCTATCTCTAGCCTTGCAAGAACTTTAGGTTAACTTCTCTAAACCGTCGTCACACGATCGGTTCAAATAAAACCAAAACCCCCCATTCTCGAGCTTACAAATACACGAAACCGCCCATGATCGTAGACATGAAGCCCTCTCACTAGAGCGATCAACGTGGCACACTGAGAAACATAGCACTAAAATTTATTTTAGAAATCTGTCGGTTTTATGAAATATTAATTTTAATTTAATATTTGAAAGATTATTAAATGTAATTTAAAATACTATTAATTTGAACCAAAGAGTACTATTGTTAAACTCATGAGTTAATTATCTGAGTTTAACGTTTTTACGTTTTCAGCTGACAAAATCGTGTCGACTCATTCTTAAACTCGTGATAACTATAAACTCGGTTAAACTTACGAGTTCATTTATGAAGTTTACCGTTTTTACGTTTTTAGCTTATAAAATCGTGTCAACTCGTTCTTAAACTCGTGCTAAATTTTTGAATTTGATTATGTTTAGTGACTTTATATGTGATTTTTATAGAAATTTCTTTGTTGAATATGATAAATTATGAACATTGATAGATATAATTTCAATTATTTAAATTTAAAATATATTTAAATGAAATTGTTCTCATTTTTTATATATTAATTATTTGATTATATATTTTTAATATTATTTTATTAATAAAAGTAAACTCTTACGAGTTCACAATCCGAGTTTACAATCCGAGTTTACATCATTATCACGAATTTGTTTAAACTCGCAAGTTTGATAACTTTGCCAAAGAGTAACCAATTGCTGCTTTTTAATGAAATATTAGCTTTAATTCAAAAATTTTAAAAATTAATTAAATTAATTTAAAGCATAAAATATTAATTTGAAATCAGAAAACTACCCATAACATAGCCTTGAAATACGAGACAATGTGGATAATCTTTTAATTTAACAGCTATCGTATATTTACTAAACAAAAAATATTACTTCACTTAATTGTAATAAATTAAAAAAAAATGCCCATGTTCGCCGTTAAAATGGATAATTTTTTAATTTAACAGCTATCATATATTTAAAAAACTGTCCACCTGCAAAATTACTTAAGATCAGAAAATCAAAAATAAATTTGTAACATGATATCTGAATTTTTTGAATATAAAAATTTATTACTATTTATTTTTTAAGAAAGCCTATCACGTGGCACGATATAAGCATGCTTTGGTCAAAAATTTTTTATTACATATGTAGAAAAAACAATATTTTATCATTTATTTATTAGGAAAAAATGATATATATATGAGCTAGCAACAACCAAGTACCATATTATTCAATAAAAGAAGGAAAAACACCCTATATGGTTTTTTTTTTGGTTTGGTAAAAGACTATACGGTTTATTTTAAATTGCCCAACAACCACAAATCTCGGATAAGTCAAGATAAAAATTCCGGCAAAATATATGGAGAAACAGATACATGCAGTTAACAAACAAATAATAGTTCATACATTATTTAAAAAAAGATTAAAAAATTTAGGCAAATCGAAATATTTCTGAAAAAAAGACGTGGGAAAACTGAAATGGATAGGTAACAAACAAATATAATGTGATTTATTAAATTGCAAAAGAGAGGATACATTATTTAAGAAACGGTTAAAAAAATTAATATATTTATCTCTTTCCTTATTGTGACACTTGTTGTACTTCTAGATGACCTTGAGACTCCTCCCTTATAATAGTAATGGATTAAAAAATTTAGGCAAATCAAAATATTTCTGAAAAAAGGACGTGGGAAAACTGATATGGATAGGTAACAAACAAATATAATATGATTGATTAAATTGCAAAAGAGAGGATACATTATTTAAGAAACGGTTAAAAAAATTAATACATTTATCTCCTTCCTTGTTGTGTCACTTGTTGCATTGCTAGATGACCTTGTGGAGACCCCTCCCTTATAACATTAATAGATACTTCTGTTGGAGATCATGGTCATCGTCACGGCAAATTCTTCCTGCTATGAATTATGGGGAGTCGGAAGAATCATTGAGATCCCCGCAGATCCGTAATTATTCTATGTCTTATGCCTGCATGGCCGAATATTTGTCTGACACGAGAAGTTCCCGTTATTATAGTTTAATTAATTATTTCTTCAACCACTAAGGTTCATAGTCAAAAACAAAGTTTAACGGATTAGCTTGGAGCTTCATGAAGTCGCAAAAGTATGTACTCTTTCCGTCTTATATATAAAAATTTATTTTGTAGTATAATTTATATTACAAAATTGCTCTTATATTTAGGATCGAAAGAGGATATGCATTATGTCAAATCTAAAAAAAAAAAAACCAAAAATATAATCTTATTGATTTATACTGTATATACTACCTCTGGTCCTTAATATAAGACTTTGTTTGATTTTTATTTTGGTCTTAAATATAATATCTCAATCCACTTTGTCTCTTATACTTATGCATTTTCTCCCAAGATAATCCTTCTAACAATGGTAGTTCTAGCCAATATACTTAATTAGTAAAGATATTTTAGGAAAGACAACACCTATTTATTACAAATAACTAACTTAACTTATTTTCTTAATCTCTTCAAATTAGTCAACTAGCTCTGATAATTAGGACCGGAGGTAGTATTTCATTTAAGTATCTCTCTCAGTACTCGACGTACGTCGTTTCCAAGAAAAGCTGCTGGTTGATATCATCACTGAAAATGCATAAGAAAACGAGAGAGAAGAATATACTAAACACAGTTCAATAATGTACTTATATTCCCATACGGTTCAAGCAATATATATATATATATATATATATGCATGCGCGCATATTTGTATATATGCACACACATATATTTGCCAAAACAAGGGAAGGACGTAAGGAAATCTGATCTCTCTCTCTCTCACACACACACACACAGAGAAGGAAGGGCTAGCTTCTGGGTTTTGTTGATAATATGTGGAGGGAGAGAGAAAATAGGGTTTGGAGAACGATGAAGAAGAAAATGATGAATATGATAGTTTTAGGGCTTGTATTGTCTGTGTTTCTATGGGCAGCTCATGAGGCGGCGAGGCTACCTACCAAAGATGCAGCAGGGAAGTTAAAGGCATTCTCAGGTGAGATTCTGTAAAATTTTCTAATTTTTCATTTTCCCTTCCTGTTATGTCTCCTAATTTTCTTGGATCTATACGCCTCTAGTGTATGTTGTTATTTTTCTTTGAGATTTCTAGTCATAGGCTATGTGACATGAAATGATATTAACTTTAAGTTGTCACTTTTGTTGGAATTTTTTGTAACAAATAAATCATAATATAATCTTCAAATTTTTTTATTGTTTTTACACATTTTCAAATTTATTTATACAAATATATTAATTCGACATGAAATGACGATAAACATTAAAAATAAGTAAAAAGAGTGCTTTCTTTACATAACGAAAATAACAACATAAAATATCAAAATAAAAATGAATTATTAAGAAGGTAAATAATTTTTTTTTACTCCAATTCAAGAATAAAAATAAAAGTATTGACATTATTGAAAAATGATTACAATCATACTATAACTATCATAAAAAATTTTATAACTAGTGAATGAAACGAATTCAATTTAGTGATAAAAAGTTCAAAACTAGCCTAAAGATAATATAATATAATATAATATAATATGTTCTCTATTAGCTTTTCTTTGATGTAGGTTAGCTATTTTCTCCTTTAATGTTGGTAAACTTCTATAAAGTTTTGAATTTATGATTTAGCTAATAAGAAGCTAAATAAAACATTCAAATTAAAATGAACAATGAGACATGCATATTTATAATTAAGCCATAGGAATGACGATTTTTTTTTTTTCAAACTTCAGTTTTATCTGGTAACTTGCATATTACGCACTATGTCATAGAATAAAATGAATATTCTAATTCATGATAATTAGATGCCTGATGCTTGTTTTAAATCAGTTGAATCATACATTCAATCAATAAATAAATGATCGTATCCCATGAAGCCTAGAAGAATAGCTGTAGAAACAAAACGCCTTCCTTGAACGACACGTCACTGGGACGTCGTTTTGTTCCCACACATAAATTTGCTAATTCAATGACCTTACATAGCTTCTACCGTCACATTTAGCACATATCAAAGGAATATTCTCCTTATATGCCTTGGGATTCGATCTTCTTGTGATAAAAACAGAGCTGGGAAATTGTCTTAGTCTCTCTTGTGCAAAGGGTATCTCCAAGAAAGATCAAACACTTCCCATTGACGCAACTTTCAAGCTTCCTGCGCCAACACCAGTCTGGCCACCAGGTAAATAACCTTTGTCATCATTCTGTCCTCTCTTTTCCTCTCTATTACTTGTTCAAAAGAGAGAACATATGTTAAAAGGATACAACTGTTTATGCTGTGTTCGCTCATATTAAGCATCCTTTTAACATGTTTTCAACCTCAATCTCAATCCTTATCCCTTATTTTCAATACTCCATACCAAACATAACCATAGAACACAACCAATTCATGTTCCACATTTGTAGTATCTCTCTGCAAAGCATTGATACTTCAAAAACAGTTGTATCTGTTGGCAAGGGGGGGGAAAATAAAAGAGTTATATCATATCCTGAATACACGAGATAGTTAGTTCGTTTCTTTTGGGCAAAATATGTGAGGTTCAACTATAATCTGAAGTACTGTGATATGCCAGATGCTGTCAAAATTTATCAGATATGACCTATATGCTACTCTTTGTCTAGCCAATTCTTATTGGTGATGGATTACTCCTTTGCATGCAGGTGATGGATTTGCCAGTGGGATCATCAAACTGGGAGACATACAAGTGGCTCAAATTTCAACATTCAACAAAATATGGACATCTTATGAAGGTGGTCCAGATAATCTTGGGGCCACAATCTTTGAACCAACAAGACTACCAGAAGGATTCTCTATATTAGGTTACTATAGCCAACCCAACAACAAGCCTCTTTTTGGATGGGTTCTTGTGGCCAAAGATAATTCTTCAACCAGTCAGCCAGCACTAAAGGAACCACTTAACTACAAGCTAATATGGAGCAGCAACTCTACGCAATTTAGTCGAAATAGCCCAGCTTACTTTTGGTTACCAACTCCTCCTGATGGCTATAAAGCAGTAGGCCATCTTGTGACCACCACACTGGACAAGCCTTCCCTCGATAAAATTCGGTGTGTCCGGTCAGACCTTACTGATCAAATTGAGACATATAATTGGATTTGGGGACCAGGAGCATCCAGTGACTCCAATGAGTTCAATATTTATGAAATAAGACCAAGCAATAGAGGGACCAAAGCTCAAGGACTTCCTGTAGGTACATTTCTAGCTCAAAATGGTGGAAATAACAGTCTTCTATCTATATCCTGTTTGAAAAACGCCAATTTAAACTTAGCCTCTATGCCCAATCTACAACAAATTCAAGCAATAGTACAAGCTTACTCTCCAATAATGTACTTACATCCTGATGAAGAATACCTCCCTTCCTCTGTAAATTGGTTTTTTGGAAATGGGGGACTACTCTATAGAAGAGGACGTGAATCACATCCTGTGCCAATACAACCAAATGGCACAAATCTTCCTCAGGATCATTACAATGACGGGTCCTATTGGTTGGATCTTCCAGCAGATGAAGCCAACAAGGAAAGAGTTAAAAGGGGTGACTTGCAAAGCTCACAAGCATATCTGCACATAAAACCAATGTTTGGTGGAGCATTCACGGACATAGCCTTTTGGGTATACTACCCATTCAATGGACCAGAAAGAGTAAAAGTAGAGTTCGTCACCATTTCATTGGGAAAAATTGGCGAACACGTCGGGGATTGGGAACATGTGACACTAAGAGTAAGCAATTTCAATGGAGAACTCCAAAGAGTATATTTCTCAGAACACAGTGGTGGTACCTGGGTTGATTCCTCTGAGCTCGAATTCAAGAACAAAAACAAACCCATCGTTTATTCTTCGCTCCATGGCCATGCGCTTTACCACAAAGCAGGGGTCCACCATCAAGGGACCGATATTACTTCGAAAAGTAAAATAATAATGGATATGGGAGTGGGGTATGAAGTGATTTCTGTAAAGTATTTGGGATCGCAGATAGTGGAGCCGCCATGGCTGAACTATTTCAGAGAATGGGGTCCAGTAGTAAGCTATGACATCGCAAAAGAGCTTAAGAAAGTGAAATGGTTGCCTGGGAAGTTGAAGAAGTTTTTGGAGAATATTGTGAATAGTTTGCCGAGTGAAGTGTTGGGAGAGGAAGGGCCAACTGGTCCGAAGGTGAAGAGCAACTGGAATGGGGATGAAGATGATAATAATCATCAGTGTATATATAAATATATATGTCAAATATGCAGCAATTCACACAACTCGTGAATGAATACACGAAATCATGTTTTGTTGATCCAAATACCTTCAACAGTTGAACTGTATTTGTTTGGCATGAATATCAGTATTCATAAATTTGAATGGAATGGAAATGCTAATAGTTTCATGTACAAGTCTATGAAAAGCAGGCACATATTTGGATAAATGTTAGGAAAGTAGTCTCATCTAATTTATGGTATATTCAGCAGTGTGATGTTATGTTTTTAGTTACATCTATCATCCTAATCTTATACGTGGTTTAGAGTATTGGATGCATTATAAATTAAATTAAGGTATTGGAAGTATTAAAAAAATAACATAAAGATGCTGAATGCTACTTTACACTTAAATTTTAAGGGGTCTAATTTTTTTTTTATAAATATATTGGGTGGAACATGTTGAGAATGATTTATAAAAGAACCAGAGTTGTGTAATTGAAAAGCAAGTAACAGTAGCTTATGAGATAAACTATGATTTTTTTTTGCTCATAATTGGTTTTGGCATCATCAAAATTTTGGATTGGCCTTCTTAAAAGGAATGCTCTTATTGGCTAGGAAACAAAGCTTTTGAAGCACCTAGACAAGCTGGTCATGTTAGCCAAGTAGTGTCAAGTTCATTGGTTCTTCCAATATATACTACTCCTCCGGTCCTTAATATAAGACCCATTTAACTAATTTGATTAGATTAAGGAAGTTAGGTAAGTTAGTTAATCATAAGAAAAGTGACTCATTTTTCCCAAAATACCATAATCATCTTTCTTAATACCCGCTCTCCCTCTTTTATTTGATTATGGTTGAAGGAGTATTCATAGGGGTAATTTAGAGAAAATTGATAAATATGAGAAAATGCTCTTATATTTAGGACCAAAACCAACTGAAGAATTGGGTCCTATATTAAGGACCGGAGGAGTATATAATCTTTTTTAATTTGCCACCAATCATCTTTAATTTTCCCCTCCTTTGGTGGCCTCAAAAACAAAGTTAATGTATTATGTGTATATCCACTACTGAAACTAGAGCTGGCTTAATTAATTAGCACAAACAAGATGATCAATTACCATATCCGCACCATTACACCACAAAAGTCGATCATCTAGCTGCAATTGATAAGCCTGTTGAATTCAAAGGCCATCATATCATTTACCAATTATTCTTTTAGTTCTTAATATAAGCTCTGTTTAACTAATTTGATTAGATTAAGAAAGTTAGGTAAACTAGTTAATTATAAAAAGTATGTTGTATTTTTTCTAAAACACCATAATCATTTTTCTTAATATTCTTATTCTTACTCCTACTTGATTATAATTAAAGGAGTATTCATAGAGATAATTTAGAAAAAAATTGATAGATATAAAAAATATATCTTACATTTGGAACCAAAATCAATTTAACAATTAGATCCTATAATAACGACTAGAGGAGTAACATTTTAGATGTTCACTTTCTTAATTAATTACCATCTTCTTAGTTCCCATTTCAAAAGTAAGTGAAGTCTCGCTCTTCCTCAACACCTCCCCTTGCGTCCATCATCCTATATGCGCCTGATTCTGGCTATAAATTAAATCTCATGCTTTTTTAAAACAATAATTTTATAAGAAAATTGCATAATATATTCAAATACAATAATACGGATAAAAAACAATGTTTTCTTAATTCCCAGTTCAAAAGTAAATTAATGTTTTTTGTAGTATACTACTTCTGGTCTTTAATATATAAGAGCTAATTTTTTTAATTAACCCAAATTAATTAACTAAATCTAATACCAAGGACTAGTACATTTCACATATTATCAATCCTTAAATGTGTATCTTAACATAATTTTTTTATTTAAAATCTTATTATCTAATACCAAGGACTCAAATTTAGAATCTTATTTAAGATCCCTTAAATCTCTTTTTATTTAATTTGGGAACAAACTAAGGAAATCAGAGCCGGTTCACCTAGTTAAAAAACAAAGGAGGGGAATGGACCTTTTTTTTTTTCCTTTTTTGTTTTTGAAGGTTCATCAAAGACAATTCTAAGTCAAATAAAAATCTTTGAATAACTTGTGAGGCCGGCGACTGATATTTTCTATGGCTTTAATGAGACAGAAGCAACACTCCAAAGCCATGTTTCAAAATTTAAATCATTCATTAAATTATATGAAATTAAGATTGGAGTTCATAATACAATAATATGAATTGTCAATATATATATGAATCAAATTTATTAATTTCTTAAAATTTCATTAACATAATTTTTATAACAAAAATCGTGTGAGTTGTGAAGCTTAGTTTAATTTGTCGTGGAAGAACAAATGGGGACTCAAGAAAGGTCTTGATATTTAATTGTTCTTTATAAGTTACTTATTTAATCAAATGATTGAGTGCCTTGGTTGTTAAAATTTTTTTCGAGGATTACTTTTTTTTTTTGGGCCAACTTTCTAGAGGATTACGTCCGAATGCTCTTGACAAAATAATTGAAGATGTGAAAATAATATTCCATGATTTAAATTAGAAATAATTATTAATACAGTTAATACTTCTTTGGTCCTTAATATAAGACCCATTTACTAATTTGATTAGATTAAGGAAGTTAGGTAAGTTAGTTAATTAAGAAAAATGTGACATATTTTTCTTAAAATACCATAATCATCTTTCTTAATACCCTCTTTCCCTCTTCTACTTAATTATGGTTAGGGAGTAACCATAGGGGTAATTATGGCTTAGGACCAAAACCAACTCAACAATTAGGTCCTATATTAAGGACCGGATAAGTAATTTTTAAGAAATATTAACAAATATTAATCTTCACAATAGTTTGTATATTTATTTTACATTTAACGAGACAATTGTTATGTTATTTTTTCAATTTAATGATTTTTTTTATAACTTTTAAATTTCATTTAGTTCTTTTCTTAAATCTTTTTAGAAATCAAAGCCAAAGAGTTTGATTTCATGCATGCAGCCAATAAGCTAGTATAAAATCTAGAAAAATCTGCCACCAAAAACTGGTTGAAATGATAGAAATAAATATAACTTAATCCAACTCGCTTTTATAATTAACGAAAAAGAATCTAGAAGAATCTCAACAGTAATATAACTCCTCCGGTCCTTAATATATGATTTATTTAACTAATTTGATTAGATTAAGAAAGTTAGGTAAGTTAGTTAATTATAAAAAATATGACATGTTTTTCCTAAAACACCTTAATCATCTTTTTTAATATCTTTCCTTCCTCACTTAATTATGGTTGAAGAAGTATCATAAAGATAATTTAAAAAAATTGATAAATATGAAAAATATGTCTTATATTTGGGATCAAAATTAACTTAATAATTAGGTTTTATATTAATAACCGGAAAAATATTATCTTCTTCAATCTTTTCTTTCAGATACTGAAGTAATTAATCCAATTTGTGATCGTAACTTAAAGCATTAATGCATTATCACACGGTGCTTGCCTTTTGCCACACCGTGAGAAAGTTTGAAAGATTTAAAACAAAACGTTGGCTACAAAAAATTTAGAGAGAATTAATATGCAAATCCTTACAATTTTAACTGGTTTTTAATTAGGTCCTTATAATTTTTTTTCTTTTTATCAGGTCCTTATAATTTCACATGTTTTTAATCAGGTCCTTATATTTTGTTTTCTTTTTATCAGGTCCTTATTGTTTTATCTTATTTTTAATTAGGTCCTTGTAGTTTTTATTCTTTATTCTATAAATAATAATATTCTATAAATAAGAAATTATTATAATAATCTTGTGTTAATATTCTTTTAAATTTTTAGTTAAACATATATATTATTTATTTTTCAATTCTAATTTTTATAATTATAAAATTCAAATTATAATAATAAAATTTTCTAAAATTAGAATATAATTATAAATAATTTATAGTTAAATATAATTATTTATTCTCATTATTATTGATTACTAAATGATAATGTTAATTATTTTGTCCAATTACAGGATTATTAATTTAAAAATGAAATTAATTTTAAAGAATAAAGTTAATAAATAATTTTTTTAAAACTAAAAAGGATCTAATTCAAAAATAAATGAAACTATAAGGACCTAATAAAAAGGAAAAAAAATGGAGAGACCTAATTAAAAACAAGTGAAAGTAAAAGAATCTGATAAAAAGAAAAATTTTTATTGGCACTTGATTAAAAATCAGATGAAACTATAAGGATATGGAGATTAATTATCCCAAAAATTTAAAACAAAACACAGTGATTTTTTTCCATGCAGGACAGTTTTTGCTGTTGGAAAGAAAATGAAAAACTTGTTAAAAATGTGTTTTCATTACATATTTTGAAAAATAAAAAAGTAAAAGATGTTCTTGGAAAAAGAAAAAAGAACATCTCTATAATGTTTTGTTAGTTTTTTTTTTTAATAAAATTAGAGTGTAGGTGGAGAAACGTTTATTAAATTATGAAGACTAATATTTTAAATAAAAAAAACTATAGTTTAAAGCTTGAACAATTAAAATTAAAATGAGAACAAACTATCTTTTTAATTTTTTATTTTCAAAACTTGGTCTAAAAACTTATTCTAAAACATAGAAAAAGAGAATAAAATCAAACTGAATTTCAGGCAAGGAAGAAGAAGAAAACAAGGATAAGAAAACAAGGATAAAGACGATGTAAAGACAAGGACAAAAGATTAATATTTTTATTCTGAAAATGTCATATTATATAGCTTTTGATGGTTACCTTGTACGCCAGGACAAGTTTAAAGTTGAAACAATTTAATTAAAGCCAAGACGCCTTGTCGAAAAACAAATGGACTTTTCGTAGGAACAAAGTACGTGTCATGTGAGTAAAAAAGGCCAACAAATAGCAAACGAAATATAAGAAAACAAAAGCTACAAGTTCATACCAACAGGATTTGGTCTAATAGAAGAGACTAGTCCCTCACAACATGACGAATTAATGTTCGAATCCCCGCTGGAAGAGATGCCACACATTTAGTACCCGATAGTGTCTCGGATAGAATTACATCTAACAGGAGGATACCTATACTTTAGCAACAACAAAAAAAAAGCTACAAGTTCATATATATGCACCGCTATTCTAATTTCTATCACCCCCCTCTATTTTTATTTTTTAACCTCTTTTTCTTTGATTTCATCGCCTTTATCTCAGAGACACAGACACATATATATATTACCCCAGTCTTT